TAATGACCTAAGCTTAAACAAGAAATTTCAAACCCACTATAGTATCGAATCAATCCCAAGTATTATTTGCAAGAGGACAAATTGAAGCTTGAATAAACTCATATTCGGTCTGGTTAAGCTCACTGGACACAATATTGTTCTTTTGGGTTTATAGTTCATGATTGTTTCTTAATTCCAACTCTACTACATAACCGAATGTTAGAGTTTTTTCTCATCTAACTCCTTAGCAGTCGGGTTTTTTTTTCAAGGAATCCAAAAAAAAAAAAAAAAATCTTGAGTTAGAAGACCATGAAACCGAGGCATGCTTGACGCAGGCCAGGGCATAAGCTGTGGTGAAGGCCGGCCTAGCAAAAGAGAAAAACTGTTGCAAATGGGTACAAGGTTGTTTGATCATTGGACTTAAATATTTTTTTGGAAAATTTAGATTTCAGTCTCTCTATATATAAATTTATTTAGAGATAAGTCCAACAAGAAAACTTATTTGATTTTAAGTCCACTTTTTGTCAAATTTACTATTGTATCCTTACCCTTTCGAAAAACAATAACCGACATCTGACTTACCGTCCTCTTCACATAGGTTAGATCATTGAGGTATATATAAAAACTCTTGATTGAGTTATATATGAAAACCGTTTATTAAATATTATGATAATTAACAAAAATTTTATATGAAAGTTATATATTTTGATAGTTATATATGAAAGCTTGATGTATGAATAAATCGTTAGTCTATTAATTCAAAATCAGATTACAAAATTTCTTTTATAATTCAAAATTTTTTTAACATTAGTTTACTATAGTGGTACTAATTTTACTATAGTGACATGAATGTTACTATAGTGACACGAATGAAATTTTTTTGTTTAAAATACTCAATATCCAAAATAAAGAATTCCACAATTTCAAATAGTAACATAAACTCAACTCCAATTTTTACTTACACTACCAATTGCAAATCTTTAGATGTATATTATGTAATATATACATTTAAATTTTACAGTAACTTCAATGGTTTGTGCTCAGTAACACATTGACTTTTACAAAATACAAGACAATAAGGTTTTCACAGTAACATCAATTTTCGAAAGAGTATAGTGAAAATACGATTTACAAATTGAAAATTTATACAATTTTTAGTAGTAACACACCGTTGACAGTTGAATTGGACTCTCAACACCAATCAACAACATCAAGACATCGAAATTCTGAAATTTTGAAATTTATTTTTCAGTTATCACACAGTAACATGATCTATTTCACAGACACATAACCAATGTATTTCGAATGTCTTGCACAACAAAGAAAAACAACAAAATTGAATTATATAACACTTTAATTTAGTAATAATGAATCTCAATTTTTAAATTAGGGGAAAAAAATGGATAGATTGAACTATATATTATATAGAAGTTTTTTAAAATCTTACAATGAACATCAACTTTCATGTAAAATCACATACCTTAACTTTATTTTTGAATCCCAAAGTTGTGAAGATGTTTTGAATGCAAATAATCAACTGTAACTTTGTCAATGAAATCCACAGTAAACTTGAAGAGTAAAATCAAAATTGAGGTTGGATTTGTGTTACTATTTGAAATGACGAAATTCTTCATTTTGGGTATTGAGTATTTTAAAGAAAACAATCTCATTCGTGTCACTGTCGTAACACTAATGTTAAGAAAATTTTAAATTATTAAGGAAATTTTGTGATTTGATTTTGATTTAATAGACTAACGATTTATTTGTACATTAAGCAACCATATATAACTATCAGAACATATAGCTTCCATATAAAACTTCTGTTAATTATTATAATATTTAATAAACGGTTTCTATATATAACTCGATCAAAGGTTTTCATATATACTTCAATGATCTAACCTATGTGATTTTTTATAACTGGACAAAACTAATACCGTTAATGGTAATTTTAAGATTTAAAAAATAAGTAGACTTAAGTACCTACATATAAATTTAAACATGAATTTACCCTTAAATAAGTTTTCTTTTAACATTTAAGTCATTATAAGTCCATCTAGGGGGACTCACCTTCAATTTTCACATTTAAAGTAAAAATTGGGGGTAAGTTCCCCTATATGTATTTGTTTGAAGATAAGTTTAGTAAGAAAACTTATAAGAAACTAAGTCCATGTTTAAAATTATATATACTGACTTAAGTCCACTTTTTCTTTTTATCTCAAAAATACGTTAATAGTGTTAACTTTGGTCAATTTACCATAAGTTAGATGTTTGAGATATATATGGTAACCAATTGATCAATTTTTTTTGGAAACAGTATATATCATAATATTATGCTTGAATTACGTTAAAATCATTAGCCTATTAATTCAATTTCAAATCAGAATATTCCATTAAAAATTCAAATTCAAATTCAAATTCAAATTTTGAATCAAGAATAATTTGTTTGTCTGATTGCGTAAATTAAAAGGAATTTAAAACAAGTTACTACACATGTTCTTTTTTTTTTTTGGTGTAATCAATCATGAAAGAGTTTTCAACTATTTTACAAATAAACTATACAAACAATATCTAGACATGTGGATAAATGCATTTAGCTTTTACAATCAACTTCATTTCAGCATTCTAAAATCGAATGGGGTCTATAATTTGGAACATTTTTTTGTGCATCTTATATTTGATTTACAATTTGGATAGAATTTCCTTTATTCCACAAACATTCCATTACAATCAAATATCAACCAGCCAACAATTATAGCCAAATTTCAATTCATCCATTTATCAACCAGCTAACAATTACAACCAATTTGTAACCAACCCTACAATTAGCTTTAAAAAAATAGCTATGAAAAACATTAGTAAGTTCTATTTTTTTTGGTATCTCTTTCTCCTTCTTGATCTTGACTTGTAGTCTTCAATAATCTATGCATTCCTATGGTTTATGAATGTAGACACCATATCTATCCATAGAGCGTTAAGTTGAGATGGTTTCAAATTCTTTTCTATTGGTTGTCCACGAGCAAACTGTTGCATTAAGTATTGCCATCAACCTATAAAATGACATTGAATTATCAATTACTGAACAACATATAATAACATGACACAATATCACTTAACTTAATTTATATAAAATAATTAGTAAAACTTATGTGCAAGTATAACATTAACAGTAACACCAAGGTTGTTGATGTACACATAGTAATATGATCATAGTAACATTAATTAATAAATTTTACCTCAATACCATCTTTATAGTAACATCAACCAAACACAATTTAGTAACATAATTTTTTTTCATTATACAATTGATTCCATTGGAAATTCATTGAGTCCCCATGCTACAATTTTGTAGAATGACCATTACATTATACATAACATTTGTTCAAAAGCAACTTGAAATTTTTTTGAGGAAACTTGTGATATTTTGATAATTGTTATTCAGTAACTTCATTTTTCATATATTGAATAAAAAAGATTCACTCCCAATTTACATTTTAAATCAAACTACAACCCCTGAACTCTTCGTAAACAATATATGTTGCATTAAAAGTAAAAATCCTAGGATGTGATCAGTAACATGTCAACAGTAACATCTATTTAATAGTAACATCCACAATACTCAAAGACATCAATACATTGAAATTATGAAATCAATTTATCAGTAATCACACAGTAACATGATCTATTTCATGTTACTTTGAATCAATGGATTTCAAATGTTTTGAACAACGCAGAAAGCAACAAAAAGTTTTCACATGTAATTATATAACACAGTAATTAAGTAACAGTAACATGAACAGTACAACCCCCAATACTATATTGTGTTCATAGTAACATCAAATTTCGAAATATTATAGTAGAAATACAATACAATTCAAAAATTTAAAATTTAAAAAATTCCTAATCGTAAAACACTGTCAATTGTTGAATTAGGACAAACAACTCCAATCAAGAACATCAATATACTGGCATTATGAGATACATTTTAAAAAGTGCTCTCACAGTAACATGAGATATTTCATTCAAACAGCACAAATGAATTCCGAATATATTACAAAACTAAAAAAAAAACAAATTCATAATACATATCTAATTAATATAGTACCAAGGAATCACAATTTTATTGTGGGGAAAAAAATTGTTTGACAGGTTAAACGATATAGTATGTAAATGTTGCTTTAAAATCCTCAAATAAACATCAAATAACATGTAAAATTATATACCTTTCAAATTCTCAAGAATCCCAATGTTGGTGAAAATGTTTTGAATGTCGAAAGAATAAATATAACTTCACCAATAGAACTTGAAGAGTAAAATTGGGTTTTTCTCTTATGGTCCGTAACTCCTTTGATTTTTGAATTCAGACGGTTTGGATAATGACTGTTAAGGATTTTCGGATAAGGAAACACAAAGAGATTTGAGGATTTTTGCCTGATTTGTAGGATGGAATGAAGGGAAAGTTTCTGTGTATACAGTCGAATATGGAGGGTTTCTTCGTCTGACATGTGATATGGCAATGTAGACAATGTTTGTTGTTTGTCAAAAAATAAGGGTATAATAGTAAACTTGACAAAAAAATGGACTTATAATTAAATAAATTTTCTTGCAGGATTTATCTCCAAATAAGTCCATTTAGGGGGACCGGCCTCCAAATTTTAATTCATGAAAATTTTAGACCTTATAAAAAGGCCCCAAAAAATTTAAATCCAATCAAAAAAATTATAATTTTAATAATTTGAGTCTATATTTTAATCCATTATAATATTAAAAACTCAAAAATCAAAAATTTTAAAAATAAATAAAAAAATTCAAAAGTCAAAGTATCACATCCTCCTCTCTCTCTTTAAAAAAAAAAAAATTAAAAAATATTTTTTTTTAAAAAAATAATACTAAAAATAAAAAGCGTATGACAGGTTTAGCCTCAATTTACCTTCAGCCGAGAGAGAGACACGGATCACAACAGCGAGTGAGAGAGAGAGAGAGAGAGAGAGAGAGAGAGAGAGAGAGAGAGTGGTGTTGAAATGGCGGCGTCGTCGTGGGTTCAATCGCTGCTGAATCCATCGAAGAACTGGTTGGCCGCTCAGCACAAAAAGGCCCTCTCAACTCGCCTCCGCAAATACGGTTAGGCTTTCAGAAAATTCATGTTCCTTCTTTCTTCTCTCTTCGTTCGAGTTATCTTGTTGTGTTATCTATATACTCGTGTAATTGAATTTCTAGATTTGGGCATTTTGTTGTTAGGGTTGAGAATCGATGATCTGTACGATCCAATGGAAGATTTGGACATAAAGGAAGCTCTGAGACGCCTTCCTCGTGAAATCGTTGACGCTCGAAATCAGCGTCTCAAGCGTGCCATGGATCTCTCCATGAAGCACGAGTACCTCCCAGAAAACCTCCAGGTCCTATTTATGTCTCTCTCTCTCTCTCTCTCTCTCTATCGTATTATTCGTTCTATATGTATTTGTGATTCGTTGGTGAGAAGTTCCACATTCATACATGGAGATGGAGTTAGGATGAATCGAAGGTTGATGGTATTATGAATATCAAATTTGAGAACCAGAGTTACAATGTTGAGATAGACGTAGTAGAAATTATTTATTTTTTGTGTGCAAAAATGATTTATCCACTAAATATTTCCATATCTAATAAATAAAGCTACTTCAGTTTCACCCATAGTTTTCTTGTTTATAAGCTCACTTTGGATTGACTTGTAAGATAAATGTGCGAGACTTGATGATTTTTTAAAGACTTATTTAACTATTGAGGTTGGTTCGATAAGTTATTAAGGGTCCGAAACTACATAAAAACATCCAGCTTCTTGAGCTTGGGTCGTGATTAGCTCTATTGGAAGCTCATATGAGACCTTAAGTTTGAGCTTGAGCTTCACATGGAGCTAATACTGGCTTGACTCTGCATTGCCTAGCTACCTATAACTATTAATTGTGGAGTTTTAATGGTAGTCCTTAAGTTAGCGAAAGGTGTTAGCCCTTTATTTAGCGAAAGGTTTTTGTGTTATTTGTACAGGCAATGCAGACACCATTTAGGAGCTATCTTCAGGATATGCTAGCTCTGGTAAGTGTTTCTTGCGAATTGCTTTTGGTTTGTTAATCAGCTTTCCTTTTGTAAAGGCATTTACATTTTTATTTCATACTGCTATACCACCCATTTCATAATTATGCTATTTTCCATATTTGATCAGTGTAGCATGCTTTGAAGTTTAAACCTTATAGACTGTAATGGTTATGCAGTGTGATTTAGTAGTTAGTAGTAACTGGAATGTGTCCCCTAAAGTAGAGGCCATACATGTCACTGCATTTTTCTTGATGAATTATAATTAGTTTCTGTAAAATAATTATTGCTATTTCTATATGAGCTTCACTGATTTCAGAAGCTTCCGTAATCCAATATTCATCTGTAAACCCCAACCTAAAATACTTCCTACTGTAATTCTTGTGTGTGTGTATGTGAGAGAGAGAGGATTGTGCTGAGCTCTGTGAAGGAGGTGTTATATTTTTCATAGACGAGCATCATGCGTGCACATGCAAACATGTTATGTTTGGGTTGGTTGTTCAAGAATGATTAATTTTTTCTTGCTATGATCTTACTCTTTTGGCATCTCATCATGATGACTTGAATTGCACATCTGCAATACTTTTGGTGGAGCTTTTAGGACCTTGTTATTGTTTGTCCTATGCCCTCTAAAGTCTTTTTTGGTATTGAATTTGGATGTTCTTTCTTTTTGTAGGTAAAGAAGGAGAGAGCAGAACGCGAAGCATTAGGGGCATTGCCCGTCTATCAACGCTCAATTCCATAATTTTGATAGTTTCTCTGCTGCAGCCATTTTCGATGAATTATCATATGTTAAAGCCTTCTATTTGACACATTGTTATGGCATGGCTTCCCCTTTGTCCTTAATAATTGTGAATGCATCTTGGGTAATAAAGTAATATGGCTCAAGAAAATTTAGTTTTGATATTACTAGCTGCATTATTGCTTGTCCTAAACTATACTGTGAAATTTCACTTTTTTTATCACATTATGGTTCTCTGACTTTAGATGGCAAGTAAGGGTTCATGATTTGTTAAATGATTGGGGTGTTGATGTCACAAACTGTAAGTAACATGTTTCTGTTTTTCCTAATCTGCATCAGGCTTTCTATTGATAAATACCTATGATGAAATGCGTTCTTTCAGTTATTCTATC